CCTCAAAGATCTTATAGAGACCTGCCTGCCTCCACTTCTACCTCTCAAGTGCTGGGATTAAAGGCATGCTACCAAGTCCAGTTCCAGTTAGCTGTATTTACTAGTGTTTAAACCGATGGAGAACTAACTATTAAAAACAGATTGAAGATGTCCACGAAAAGATGCAGTTACACTTACACTTTCCGATCATTTAGAAGCATCCCATTCATTTTTTCAATAGCTCTTTCAGCTGCTTCCTGTGTTTCAAAATGTACAAATCCATAGCCCTTGGAGCCATTTTCATCACAAACCACCTAGGGTTAAACAGAACACTCACTTTTTATTACTTGCTATTGCTTTTCTACTTTGTAGAAATGTTAGCCATCTAATCCCAGGAACTTCAGAAATAATGACAGCATTAACAGACAGCACAAATGTCACTTCCAAATCTAAAAGTAGCACAACACGGCAAATACTGACCCGTTACATCTGAGCTTACCTTACAGGAAAGGATGTTACCAAACGCAGAAAACGTATCATACAGTGCTTTATTATCGATGGATTTGTCCAAATTTTTAATGAATATGTTGCCTACTCCACTTTTGCGAAGTGATGGATCACGCTGAGACCACATGATGCGTACTGGCTTGCCCTTTATAACATCAAAATTCATGGTGTCCAAAGCACGTTCCGCTACAAGAAATACATTTTCAGAATAATTTCATTAGCCACTTTATATAAAATTACCAGTAACAGTGAGTAAAAAGATAGCCATGTGGCCTCAGTTCAACTTCCTCTTTAAAGTATGGACCTCACTACACTGTAACCTTAACCTTAAATCATCATAATTAACAATTTCTTCCAGTCAAAGCCTATCCTACAATTTCAAAGCCCAACAAAAGATTGAATTATGTATACTTGTGCTGTAAAAGAAATGCTAAAGTTGAAACTTTTTTTTTGATACAAGGTCTCTATGCAGCCCAGGCTGGCCTGAAGTCCAGCCACCTCAACCATGTACCCATTACATATCCTAAATGATCAAATAAGAGACCAGACCTTCAAGGGGAAACAAACCAGTCCACTTGAATGCCTGAAGCAAATTTCAAATCCCACTAATAATTGTAGTTACTGACAGGACAAGGTTTTTTTTTTTTTTTTTTTAGCCACCTTTCTTTTTTTGAACTATGTAGCTTTGGCTTTCCTAGAACTCATGTAGCCCAGGCTCCTCAACAGACACACACATGCGCTGGGATTAAGTACAGAGACCACCACACCCAGCCCCCCCCAACCACTTTTCTACAAACGAAGTTTATAGTTCCTAGAATAGTGATAATCAGCAGCCAGCTCATTATCAATTGGCCACACCTCCTAAGCACCCCAGTCATGCTGACTTTGCTCAAGCTTGGTTTTTTTTTTAAATGAGTCACATTTTCCTACTAAACTGAATACTGGTCACTAGCAGCACCCTAGTCCATTGCTGCAGTATGTAAGAAAATATTGTAAAAAGGAAAAAGCTAGTTTAAAAAAAAAACATTTGGAAAGATGGAACATTGAGCATACAGCCACAAAAATGGAAGACAGACGAGGCAAGATTCTGAGCAGTTGGAATATTGGTCCACTGACATAAATGTAGAAAGTTAACTATAACCATGGCAATATGAGGCTCAAATTTTCAAATCCGAGGACTTGTAAAAACTGGGTTTTTCTAGATTAACAAAAAGAAAACCACTAAGCTTCAAGTCTTTAAAGTTTTCTTTTCGTATTAGTTCTTTCGGTTACTTGCTCCCCAAGTTATCTTCCTTTACCTTACATCCTGTCACCTCCAGTTGAGCTGTAATGAAGGGATACTAAAGTGTCCCTTAAAGAGCAGGACAGGCTACCTGCAGTGCACCTTTACAACTTCAGGCTTCCTATCACTTAGGATTCTGCTTAACCCAAATCAGTAAGTATCACCTTTAATCTAGTGAGAAACTGATCACTCCTTAACTCCAGTCTTCCTGACAAAACCCAGACAGAACCGACTTCTAGTAAAACCCTAACAACATATCAGGCCACAGACCTTATCTGATTCTGATGATTATTCTGACTTCTGTTTCAATGAATTGTCAAACCTAAGAATATAAACTCAATGTGTTACTTCTCAATTATCCCAAGATTCATGGCTATACTAAACCACTTTATGAAGAAAAATTAAAAGAAGATTTCATTAGTTGGATGCAACTAATTCAGCATAATCCGATCCAGGTTACCCTAATATTTATAACCAAAACTAGTCAACATGTTTAAGATTCGTAACTACAGGTGCTATTTTAGAAAAAAATTATCCATGTATAAACAACCACTTCTATTAAACTTAAGATCTAACTAATTTGTTTGAAATGAGCCAAGGTGTCTGGTGCCCTCGAGTCTTCCACATCCCCTCCTCCACTACATGGTTCAAGACAGAAAATACTTCCTATCTAGGGAAAACCCCAGGCAAGTGTACTTGGTATAAGGTGCCTTTCCCGGTCCACAGGCCAGGGATGTGTTTTTAGGAACAAGCTTACGACCCTAAGGACCACCACCAGGCATCATTCAATTAACTTTTTTCAAAAGCCTTGGGCTCCTCCCAGCGATTGAGCCACCGGCAGGAACAGGCCTCGGGCCTGTGAGGTTACAGGGTTCAACACGTGGTATTTCCCAACACTGAATCGTACTTCCTCCCCAGCACGAGTGCCGGGCCAGGGCAGGATGGAGGGGCGCCTCCACTCGCTGCTCCAGGAAGGGGCTCGAAACCCCCGGACCCCACAGCTTATGGCGGGAGCACGGTGAAGGCTATTTCACCCACCCTCCCGGCGCGTCATCGCCCTAAAGTTTGAGAGCGACCGATGGCGAGAAAATGGTCGCAGAGGAGGAAGTGCCGGCCCGCGAGGGGCTGCGGCGCCGTGCCCTCCCGCCCCCTCGCCCGGCCCGGTAGGCCCGCCGCCCCGGCCGCATGGCCGCCCGCCCGCCACCCTCCGGCCTGCCGCTCACCGTCCGCCGGCTGCTGGAAGTTCACGTACGCGTAGCCCAAGGAGCGGCGGGTGATCATGTCCCTGCAGACCCGGATGGAGAGGATGGGCCCGGCCGGGCTGAACTTCTCGTAGAGCATCGCCTCGGTCACGTCGGGGTGCAGGTCCCCCACGTACAGAGAGGCCATGGGGTAGCTGGGGGCGCTGGGGTTCATCTCGGCACGGCTGCCCGCGGGGCCGCAGGCCGCGACCTTTCCCGTGAGAGGAGAAGAGCGAGTGCGGGGCCGGGGGACGAAGCCGGGGGGAGGGGAGCGGGGGCGAGCGCAGAGGGACAAAATTCAACCGGAATCGACGCGTACTCAACGGCCGTGGAACCGGGGGAGCGAGGCTGGCGGTGCTGGGTCCGGGCGGCAGGAAGGCCTCGGTCTCTGGGTTCCTGCTTGGAGCTGCGGGGCCGCGGGCGGGCGGGTCGGTCTCGGCTGCTTCACCGGGTTATTTTATAAAAGAGGAAGAAAAAAAATAAAGTCTCCGGCGGGGGAGACGCGGATTTTTTGTAAATTTTTTTTGGGTTTTTTCAAAGGATTTTTTAGATTTTTTTTGGATTTTTTAATAATAAATGTGTGTTCCGAGCCCGGAGCACACACTCCGCACTCTCAGCACTAACCGCCGGGGAGAAGGGGAAGCACCGCCTCCTGCACCCTCTACTTATACCCCCCGCCGCACTCGCCCCGCCCACGCGCGTCTGACGCCAGGGCCCTACGCGAGCGACGGCGCCGGAGGAGGCGGAGGAAAGCGCAGAGGAAGGGAGAGGTGGCGGCGGCAGCGGCTGCTGCGGGCGTGGGGGTGGGGCCGAGGCGGGGCGGGGCTTCTGCGCACGCGCCACAACCAGGGGCTGACTTCCCGCTGCGCAGAGCCAGGAAAGGGCGGGGCAACCAGTGGGCGGTCCCGGCGCCGCCGCTGGTCACGCCCCTCGAGCGCACGCCCCGCCCCCTCCCGAAGGAGCGTTAACCCGTCAGCGCAGCGGGTGCGCGGCGCGCGGGGCTTCCGGGTTTCAGGGCGCCAACCGCCCCCCACGTGCGCGATTAGTCGCGGCCTCTTCCCGCCGCCGCGGCGGGGGTTCCGCTTCGCTAGCCCCCCGCCCCGAGCGGCGCCGGACACGGGTGGGCGGGCGTGAGCCTCTGCCGGCCGGGTTTCCGAGGTGTACGCGGAGGGAGGCAGGGTAACTGCCCCGGTCTCCTACCCGGACCGCACTACGAGTCCCAGCGGGCAGCGCCGCCACGCGCGTGGGCCGCGGAAGCGGTGCCTGCCGGGAGCTGGAGTTCTCAACGGCCGCGGGTCGGCTGACCTCAACCGGACCCCAACCGTCCCGGGCGTGACCCGCACGGGTCCGCGGCCCTTGACGAGGGGTGGGGGGAGAGGAGGCAGCTGTTGGGATGTTCTGTTAGAATCACTGAGCCGCTTCCTTCATTTTTTACAGTGGTAAACAGGACTCGAGAAAATTTTTTTCCTTTAAAGTATGCGTTTCTCACAATTACTCTATATCTGTCACTCTTAACCAAACAAACCTGAATAGCCTGCTTAACCAGGCGTGGTGCCCACGACTTTAACCCACTTAACCAAGCGTGCAGAGGCAGGGGTTTGCAGATCTCTGAGTTCAGGGCTACCCTAATCTACACATCTAGCTCTTGGGTGCCAGGGTTGTGGGATTAATGTAAATGATTGATGCCCACAAATATATCGACTTGTAGAAATGACATTACATCAACACAAAAACACCACTTAGTAGGTTTCTACAGTTTTTTGAAGTCCTATATAAACATCCTTTGACAGTGATGCGTGGGAAGTGAAGCAAACAGTACTATTTTTACTGCTAACGGTGTCAGAAGTTAAATGACTACCCAGCTCTTTAATTCAATGATCGTTAGTGCATACTTAGCCTATTGCCTAGTGTAAATTAGTTATAACTCATCTCATTTAGTTAGAATTTAAGTCCGGAGGTTCTTACACAGGTTCTGTCCCCATCTTCTCATCCTCACCTCCCCACCCATATTGATGGAAGATAATAGTTTTGAAAAGTATGTTGTATGCTTTACAAATGAGTATCATTTAAGGCTGTTCTTTAGGAAGACACATTATACTATGCAATATAAATCTGTTTACTCAAGGTTCTAGTTAAAATAGTTTATTTTAAAAAAAGAACACCGTTCAGTCTACTAGGAGTATAGTTAAAAATCAATCCATTAGTATAGTCATTGCATGCCTTTCATGTGCTGGGTCCCCTAAAGTAAAGATGACAAAGCCAAGTTCTTACCCTCAGGTCGTTAATAATGGTTTTTCTGGTCATCATAAATGTAAACGCTGAAGGTGCAGTGAATATCCAATCCCAGCATTTTATCAGGTGGGATATTACTATCAGAGTCTATTCTAAATATTTCTTAAAATAAGAGAGTGAAGATTCCATTGTTATTGTTTAAAATAAAACGACATCATTTTAGTACTTAAGCTGCTAAGCAAAGAGCAATATAAAACAAAAAGAAAATGGAAGAGCCTTAGAGAAGGCTGTCTGTATAACTAACTCAGTGGGTGAAGGTGCTTGCTGCCCTGCCTGACCTGAGTTGTGTACCCCAGGCCCACAGGATGGGAGGCAAGAGCCAACTCCTGCAAGTTATTTCTCTGGCTACACATTCCAAGGGCATGAACATAATACCATTGTAATAATGCATGAAGGGAACTTATGTCCAATAACTTGCAAAGATGGCAGCAAGATTTAAAGCCAAATATAATCACTACCTTTACCTACTATTTTTAACATACCCTCTTGGGAGAAAAGATTACCTTTAAAAATAATAATAATGATGATGATGATGAAGAAGATGAAGATGATGATGATGAAGGTGTGTGTGTTTGTGAGTGTATGCCACACATGAATGATGCTCACAGAGGCCAGATGAGGGTATCAGATCTCCTGGAGCTGGAGTCAGAGATGGGTGGGTCTGAGCTATGTCATGTGGGTCCTGGGAATCAAACTCAGGTTGTTTGGGAGAGCAGCAAGCACTCCAAACCACTGAGCCATCTCTCTACTATATGTTTTCTAATGGACCCCAGGAAGACATGATTGTAAATGACAGAAGTAGAAAAAAATGGTCTACTTGGTCAGAGAGCAAGCATTTAGCAAGCACTAACTTAAATGGGGCTGAGTATTCTATAGCTCCCAGGTCTTGTCTTCATTTTCCTCCAGAAATAGCTGTTAAAGCATGGTTTTGCTGTGGATCCATTTTGTACAGACTTCCAAATGGTAAGTCCGATTAGTAATTCAGCCTTCGAGATAGCTAGGTACAGGAAATGGATGCTCTGGGTAATGGAAAGAAGAAACATTCTAGTCACCAGAAATATTCATTCTTTGTACATTTCTTTTTTAAATATGTGTCTACATGGCCTATCCTGTGCTGGACTTCACTAGGCCAGACTGGATTCAAACTCAAACACATCTGCCTGCCTCTGCTCCAGAGTGCTGGGATTAAAGTCATACACCACCACACCTGGCTGAACATTAGTCCTTGGAAGGGGAGCTGGTAACTAGGACTCCTAAGCCACGGCAATTATTGACATGAAATGGATGCCAGCATCATATTCTAAGGAGGGATAATTGTGCAAAGAAATCTAGGAGCAGAGACGTCCTTGTGGAAGGGAGCTCGGAGAGACACAAGGGAATTGGAATCCACCTCGTGGAAAATAGGAAAGATTTGAACCTCAATCGAGAATATTGTTTTTATCCAGGGCTGTTGGCAACTGTTGCTTATCCCAGCGGTTGGTAGGCTGAGGCCTCTGAGCCATCACTCATGTACCTCTCTCTCACCTTTAACCAGCTCACTCCTCCACACAGTCAGTCTCTTTCTGAACAAAACAAAAAACATCTTCCATTCACTTTCTATTCATAGCCAACCTTCTTAGATTTTAAAGTAGTGCGTGTGTGTGTGTGTGTGTGTGTGTGTGTGTGTGTGTGTGAAAATCAGAGGACACCTTACATGAGTCAGTCCTCTCCTTCCCCTTGTGAGTTCTGAGAGGCTTAGCAGTAAGCACCTTTCCAGGCTAAGCCATCTCGATGGTCCCTCCGGAGCTTTTCATTTCCGTATACGTAGTAAATCTCCCCTTGATTCCTTACAGTACACTACAGTATTTCTCTCTTTACCTCACTCAAACTGCCCTGTCAACAGTTGTTAACGATCCCACTGTGGTTTGACAGATCCAGGGGTCTTTTTCAGATCCATTTGACTCAACATGTGCAGAAGCTGTCTGCTCTCTTCTCTGTTTGTAAACATTTTCTTTACTTCTGTCACACATCCAGTTCCTAGAAAGTCTACAGTCTCTCTCTCTCTCTCTCTCTCTCTCTCTCTCTCTCTCTCTCTCTCTCTCTCTCT